CTTGATAATTTGTTCATGATGATGGTAACAGAAAAAATGCAAAAGAGGTATAAAGATACGCTTTTATTGGAAATAAGTTTCAGAATTACAAGTTCATCTGTTCGCATCAAACTTTAGCAGCTAAGGTTAAAAATGAAGACAACAGATTTTGCATCTAGAAAAAGGAAAATTATGTGTGCCTACCTTATGGGGGCCTCCCAACGCATTTGTTACATAAAGTCGTGCATTGTCTACCAGTTGACAGTAAGTCAGAAATGCTTCAGCAAATCTCTTGTGGGACTTCAATTGAGAGTTTACTCTTACTGCTCTTCTACACATGATAGCTCTCCTGTTAACATTCGAAGTTAGCTGTTATCATTAGGCGATTGAGATTGTCAAATATAAAGATTCATGCTCCATCTTCACTACCTTATTCCTCTAACCACTGCAAGGTAAGCATCACATACTATCCCAACTAGCTCTATCCTATATGGCTTTCTCTTTTTGCCTCCATTTTGTTCTGGTTCTACTTCTTCCATTCGTTCCCAATAGTTTTCTGTCACAGTTCCATCATCAGCCACCCTATAACCAGGTCCCATGCGATACCTGTGGCGATGGACACATCTGGTCATAGTTATAGTCTGCACAACAAATGGTACCCAAGAGAGAGTGCCATCCATAACCACATCTCGCCCTTCATTTAATGCTGTTACCAGCAGGGATGAAGCTGCATCTGTAGATGATTGGTGTACCTGTTTGTGATGGTTAGTTTCTCTTGCCAGAATAAAAAACATTATACAACGATGAAATGTGTCCGAGGATGGATAGTTGAGATTTTATTCCAAGAAACCAGAATGAAAAGAACAGAGGTGTGTGTCAACTATCTCACCAGTTCAGCTGTTCGAATCATGTCGTGATGATGCCCTCTAGAGCTAAGGGCCTTATAGAGGACATCTGATTCTTTAAAGGCATCTGCTTCAATCCTTACGGCATTCCCTGCTGCGCCTGCCCAGAAAGGTCTGTTTAAATTTCATTCATAAATAAACGATATTAGCCTCTTGATGTTAGTTTTAATGATTTCAAAATGATACTTGTATGTTTCAAAGCATAAACGATGGTTGAAACAAGTAAACAAGAACATTTATGACCCTCCTGCAACAAAATTATCCCCATACGATTTGTTTCTGTGCATGCCATGTTATCATAATTATGGACCTCATTAAAATGAACTCGTGAGCTTTAAAATGTTTTCAGTTCTTGCTATATGCATCTTTGAGTTCTCGATTCATCATTAAACAGTGTACATTTTTTAGATGAGCGATCCTGATTCGACTTAATTTATGGATTTGATATTGTAATATAATGGAATGTTTAGCAGTATATTAAATGGAACCTTTATCACAATGCTCCAGCTATTGGGAGTTCTGTGTTGGTGATCCTAATATAGTAGAATAAAAAAATGCAAAAGCAAGCGTCATTGAAACAACAACTCTCACAAAAGACAACAACAAAAGCTAAACTCGTGAAATTCTGGATCAGAAATGTTGTTGGATCATACTCTTTGAGAATTTCTTCGAGCACGGTGCTCTTCCCTGCTCCCATGCCACCGCCCATGAGGAGGAGCACTGGACTCCTATCACTGTGAGCTACAGGAGCCATCACCTCCGTACATTGAGAATCGTCATTTGGTGCCAGCCCCATTGCTTTCATCTCTTCCACCAGTGTATTGAAAACCCTCGCCACCTTCAGATTCTTCGTAGCCCTCTCGAACCTTTGCTCCCTGCACAAACCAAGCAGTTCACTACAACAGGTCTATATAACAATAATGACAACACATTCCCATCATACGAGATTTGGCACAGGTTAACCTTGCATCCAAGTGGCGGTTTAATTTCAAACCTGTTATGGAACTAGGGCAAGTGAGATCACAAATAGAAGTGCCGATTTACTTGGTTCTCTCGGATCCATCTTAGTGGATGTTCATATTCATGCTATGCTTCATAACGTCGAAGCCTCGTCTATTTTCTCAAGTACCGATAGATCGAGTTAGAAGGAGATTGTTAATTCTCACCTGGTTGCTGCCATGACTATGTTTTTGAGCTTCTTTTTGGGTTCGCTTTCGCAACTTAACACCTGAAACACCACCGAAATAGTGTTCTTTATCTGCTACAATTTTTTTTTTTAAGGAGTAATGACGGTGAATTGTTTACCTGACTTATCATGACATCTGCGTGGCTCCAATGAAATGCAAAGTAACTAAGAATGCATCTCTCAAATTCCTCCACGAGTTTCACAAATAAAGAATCAGCATCCGGTTCGCTGGCAAAATATGCGTATATATCGTCTTCATAGTCCTCGGATTTTCTCACGTATTCTGATGCTAGTTTACATAGTTGCGGACAATTTCTCCTATCTAACCCCAGTTGCCTAGCTGCACCAAATCACACAATCTCACATGTACCAGACTAAGCCAATTCAATCCATAGGATTCAATACAATATCGATCTGTCTATATATAAGTGTGTGTACCGCTATTCGTGGATCCACAAATGATAATTACCTACATAATGGGAGAACCTTTCCAGCTTCACGGCGTGCCCTGTTTTTGATAATCTAATTCGTGGAATGATCCTCTGATCTCTTATCCTTTTCATGAAATAACGCATTGAGAAGGCAAATATGAGCCCGATGCAAGAGGCTACAAGGATCAGTGAGAAGGAGGGCTTGTAGTATTCATCTGAAGAGAAATGACAAAGGGAAAGATCAAAATCACGAATACTTTCTTCCATCATGAGAGGAATAATTTTGAAATAGTGCAGCAAATAATCAAATTGGCTAGCTTGTGTTGTGTTTCACGTACCTTGATGCATTTCTCTGGGAAATGAAAGATGGAAACCACCTTAAGTTATCGGAGAATTTCAGTTCGTGTTGCGAAATGTGATTCTCTTTGTTACGAACGATCCAAGCAATTTCTTCAGAACTTTTGTGGTTGCACGCCTATCTTTCCATTTGTTTGGAGTCGATGGAAAAGTTGGCAGGAAGCTAATCTCTTTAATTTGCATGGCAATATTAGGATTACACGTATGCAGTTTTTCTAATGGTTGCCAATTTAATTTGTTTCAATTTTTTAATTTGAGATACTAAACATTGCTATTTCATAGTAAGAATTTTAGTTGATTTTTTTTTTGACTCACTAGGTTTAATATTTCGAATAAGCATTTATTTTTCATAAATAATGCAATGACGGAAATGCTTCGTACGAGTTATAACTTCTGCACGTCATTTAAGAAATTGGAGTAAAATAACAAATAAAAATGTCATTTAATCCGTAATTTTTAGATTGATTCGTAATTTGGCCCCTAAACTTACATTTTTATGAGAAAATGTATAGAAGAATATGATTGTAGTTCAAGAACAAGCTTGAGTGCCTTAACTTCCAAACTTATGTCATTGTCCGGATACATCTTTTATGCTAATATTATAACTATTTTATATTTACGTTGATTTTAAACATAAATTCTAAATTGCAAATAAACACCCTGAAAAATATAAAATTATAAATTGGTTTTTGAATTCAAAAAATTGTTGTCGGATTTTAAATATGAATCATCAAATATTTTATAAAAGACCAAATTGCCTTCATATTAGAAATAACAAGTCAATTGTTATTTTAACATGGATAGTATTAAAAATTACAGGTTAAGTATTTTAAAATAATAAGTTTGCACCCCGTCATAACAAGTATAGTATTGAAAATTACAAGTTAAGTATTTTAAATAACAAGTTAAGTATTCCAAGTAGCAAGAGGGTGATCTGATCTTTTACACAACATTTGCTAATTCATATTTAGAACCCTGATAGCAATTTTTTAAATTCAAGAATTCAAATCCCAATTTTATAATTTTTTTTAATCTTTATTTGGGATTTTTATTTTAATATTAATTTTTGTCATCATCTAAAATATTTTTTTAATAATTTGTACTGAAAACGGGTGAAAAACTCCCTAATATATATGTGTGCGTGTAGATCTCACCAAGAAGCAGCTGCCGCGGAATGACAGAGAAAAATGGATCATGGGATTTCACAAAGATGCGGGAATGTCACGATCTATCATCACTGGGATCACGGACATGATTTATGGAGACTGGCAAGGGGAGATTCATCACACTTTTATCCTCGGACTTGACTTTGTAGCATGGTTCCTTGAAGACAAGCAGTGCTGAATAATTTAGATTTCTTGTTTGTTTTTCGGGTTTATCTTCAAGCTTGGCTTACCGTCGTAAGCCAAGCTTGTCACGATCTATCATCACTGAGAAATGAATTGCTCACATTTGCCACAAATCGCTGTAAAAACTACAAACATTTTTATGTACATTTACTATGTGTGTATGGGCGCGGGACAACCATTATCCCGTCCTGTTAACATTTTATAAAAATAAATATTATTTTTTCAGTTTTAAATATTTATACTATAAAAAAAAAGTTGTATATTTATAAACAAAAAAGTATTATCACTTTATTTAAAAATATATAAATAAATTCAAACTACTCCGGTATCTTTTTAATGGGGTGTGTATAGGAAGTAGCTTTTCTATGTTCACAATCCTAGATATATATTTTTAAATAAAATTATAATAATATTTTTGGAAAATCCACTGAAGTCTAATCCAAGGGTTGTGACGAAGAGGGTAGAGGGGAGGCCACAGCGACCCGCCGCGTCGCAAATGCCGCCATTAACCATTGGTAAAGTCAGAAGGGTTCCCGTCGACGGGACCTTTACCGATTAGCTACCGGCTAAACGGAAGGACCCATAACCCTGCTTCTTTCCGCAAATGGTCGCTGCTTCTTCCGCGGTCGTTGCTGCTCTCTCTTCGGGTAAGTCGCCTTCTCTATTCCAACACTTCTCCACTTCAACCTCCTCTAGTTTACTGAAAACCCCACTAGTTTAACATCTATGTTCACTAACCCACGAAGAGACTCCTCTTTCAATTCCGACATTATTCCTGAAACTTCAATGTCCGATGACTCTGCCCCAATTCGCACTGCAGAAATTCCTTAAAGTAGACTGTAAATTGGGGAAAGTCTCTACAGATGAAGCTTTGCACTATTTTGATCACATGCTTCACCTAAAACCAACCCCTCCTGTGTCATCGTTCAATCTCTTATTCGGTGTACTTGCCAAGAAAAAGCAGTATTCCACTGTAATTTCTCTTTGCAGTAGACTGAGGTCATCCGGGTTGTTACCCGATTTTATTACCTTAAACATTCTGTTAAATTGCCTTTGTAATACAAATCGGGCCCGCGCTGGCTTTTCAGTAGTGGGGAATATGGTCCGGAGGGGTTTCTTCCCAAATAAATTTACTTACACAAGCTTGATTAGTGGAATGTGTAAAGAGAGTAAAACTAAGGAGGCAGTGCTGTTGTTTAAGAAGATGATTAAGCTGGGCATTCTGCCTAGTGTGGTGACATACGGGACTTTAATCGATGGTTTGTGTCGAAATGGATACACGGACAATGCACTTAAGCTGCACGAAGAAATGATCAGAACTAAAGATGGGTCCAGTTTGATACGCAAACCCAACATAAAGTGTTACGCTACAATTATTGATGGCCTTTGTAAGGCTGGTTTGATGGAGAAGGCGAAAGGACTTTTCTTGGAAATGAAGAGCAAGGGCATATCTCCAGATGTGGTGCTGTATAGTTCTCTGATGCATGGCTTTTACAGTTGCGGTGATTCAAAGGAGGCTGAGAACTTGTATAAAGAGATGGTGGATCACGGAATTCAGCCTAATTCGGTTACATTTAATGTTATTATACATGCTCTTGTCGAGGATGGGAAGGTGCAAGAAGCTGAGAAATTGTTAGAGACAATGATTCAAAGAGGCGTTAAGCCTCACACCCGCATATATAATACGTTGATGGATGGATATCTTTTAGTGGATAAGCTCCACGAAGCAGAGAAAATATTTGTTTCAATTAAGAGTAATGGCCTAGAGTATGATATTGTTAGTTACAATGTGCTGATCTATGGTTATTGCAAAAATAACAAAATAGAGGAAGCTATGAAAATATATGAGGAGATGATTCATGGTGGGTTTTTGCCCCCTCCTTACACTTATATTTCCTTGATAAAAGGTCTTTTCCGGATAGGCAAGATAGAGGATGCATGGAATATGTTCAATCAGATGCAGCTTCATGGTCAGATACTGGACTCAGCAGTCTATCGCATATTCTTAGACGGGCTTTGCAAGAATAATCGTATTCCAGAAGCATTGGAACTACTTAATAGCATAGAAAATAACAATATTAAACTAAGCACTGAGATGTACAATCCCGTCATTGATGGGTTATGTAAGTCGGGAAAGCTTGAAACTGCTTTTCAGTTATTTTCTAGAATTTCTCAAAAAGGTCTTGCACCAGATGTAGTAACTTACAGCATCATGATAAATGGGCTTTGTAAGAAGAAAAAATTAGAGGAAGCAGAGAAATTGTTTCTGGAAATGGAGAAGAATGGTTGTGCTCCAAATCTAGTTACTTATAATACACTTATGCGTGGTTTCTGTCAGGAGAATGATTCAGCAAAAGTCATTGATCTTCTTCACAAAATGGCAATAAAAAACTTGTCACCAGATGCCTCTACAATGTCTATAATGGTGGACTTACTTCCCAAGGACGAAAGATGTCCTGAATATCTGAATTTGCTTCCAAATTTTTCTCCTCAGGAGCCTACTGGAAGATGATATGAGATGGCTAATCAGTAGTACGATTTATTCAATGCATATTCAGAAGTAGTAGCCAAGAAACCATCAAATAACAAACACTGCTGCTCTTTGCTACTTTCCAGACTCTTTTGATGGTTTTATGCTAAGGCAGGCCTCGTCTGATGAAATCTTTTGGTGGCAAATCAACACAACAAAAAGGTTCATGTTTTGGCTGCAATGGAAGTGTTATGTGGTGGTTATTAGAGTTAGAGGTAGTTAAGAGGATTGATTAGTTAGACAAGGTTATTAGTATAAATAGAGGATATTAGTGAATGCATGAGATGTCTTGTGAAAATAAAGTACAGTTCCCTATTGTTTTCCTTGTTCTACGCTTAACAATGGCATCAGACCCCCTACTTTGGCCATTGCCGTTGCTCCTGCCGGTTGTCAGAAAAACGATCCGCACAGCCATCCCAGAGTTAGGAGCTCTGTACAGCCGTCACTGAGTTAAGAGCACTGAAGCATGCCTCCATTGTGAATCATTACGCAAACCAATTTTAAGCACTCTTACCGTTTACGCATCTATCACAGTCCACCGCTGTCAAGCTGTTCATCAACGAACCTTAAGTCAGAGAGTCAGCACGTGGTCTGATGCTTTGGCCCAAGTAGTCTTCCCTCTGCCATTTGCCTTGCAGACATTCATGAAAGATATGCACCGAAGATGCAAGGGTAATGGTGGAAACCAGGTCGGTTCAAAATTAATTACTTTGATTGTTTTCGCTATTGGAACAGAGAGTACACACTGTACAAAGCGGGCCTTTTCCAAGACAATTTGAAGAATATGAAAATGGAATGAGGGAACCAGTGAGGTTTTAAATATATATGTACATAGCAAGATTGCTGCTGCCCGAAATGCCTATTCTAGATTATAATTCAGTTTAATTCTACTATAATTATTTATGTAAATTCTGTCATCATTAATTACGTAGCCAGCAGATTATCTGAAAGTATCAAATACATACAACATAGTCAGAGAAAGATTGAAAGGTTTTAACATACTCCACATCTTGTGCTTATTTCTTTTCAACAATTGCACAAGACTTTATTCTTGAACGCCGAATTGAATGAGCTTATACTTTCATTTTACTATTGTCTTCTTTCCTGGAGCAGTTCAGAATGAGAACGTGAGAGTTCATGAGATAATGCATAACTGTTGGAATATTTTTCCTCTCTTGATGCGGAAAACCTCTTCTTCTCCTTCTTCTTCTTCTTCTTTTTTTTTCCCCGGTGAACTGTGCTATATTGTGCTCCTCATCGGGAGCTACAGTTATTTGAAGACACGAGTGCTGCTGGTACTGGTGAAGCGGTTTCCCTCGCTAACAAATTATTATACGACATAATGGACAAATAGATACTTATTACATTATTTAGGCAAAAAGGCTAAAAAAAAGAAGGATCGATCTTATGGATCCCTTTAACTGTAAATGATGATTTCAACCCTGCATAAGGGGGGTTTGTATTGAAACGTGTGCCGTGGATTTTGATAGTTATTAAGATTTTTTTTATTCCCCCCCCCCCCACCGGGGATTCCTTGTCCATTCAAATGAGAGGATATTTTCTCTTCAATTTTTTATTCTCTTCATTTTGTTCTCTTTCCATTTTCTTTAGTCACAACTTTTCTATCCGTGGGGGAGTTATTGTTTTAAGAGATAGTTCTCTACTCTTTAATATAAGACCTAATTATTGAGTTGATTTTGATGCTAGATATAAGACGTATTTATCACATTTATTATTTTTTTCTAAATTATTCTTATTTATATTCCCTCAACCATAATCAATTAGAATATGAAGGGAGGATATTAAGAAAGATGATTATGGTATTTTAAGAAAAATATGTCATATTTTTTATAATTAATTAACTTACCTAACTCTCTTAATTTAATCAAATTAGTTAAATATGTTTTGTATTAAGGATTGAAGGAATATTATTGATTTAAGGCATAAATCTGGACATACAGTCATTTTCACATTTTGAGTCACAGTGATAGGGACATGCACTTGAGCACATGCCGTTAAATTCTTGACTAACTGTAAGCTCCTGTTTTGTAATAAAATTTGAGGTTATATATATCCTATCTAAACCTTATAAATAATTTGATTTATTATGCATTTATATTATATAAACAAATAGAAACTAGCTTATAAACTCATTTTTATATAGATTCTAAAACAAGTCACACTGTTATGGACATGTCTGAAAAATAGTTTACCTTTTCCGAGCATCTGAGGGTGTTTGGTAAACTTTAAAAAACCACTTTTAGAGCATACACCAAGATTTCATTCAAAATATATCCAAACACACCATAATCTTCTGAAACTGGAACCATAGTTTTGTCATGAAACCATGGTTTTCCCATTAAAACCATGGTTTCACCAAAAGTGTAACTTTTTTCACTTTTGATCACTGCGTGAGTAAAAATTTTTGCCCCATCAATGTTAAAGCGTCAAATGCTTCAACCTTTCTCCTCCCTCATTCTTTTTGCTTTTTCACCAGTTCTCCTCCTTCGTTCCATACTTTAATTTTTCTATTAGGAAAAATATTCATTTTTGTAAAAACACATTTAATCTTATATTTGATAAACATACACACACATATTAACAATTAATTAATTATATTTTTATATATTATTTATTATGTTGGTAAAAAAATTATTAACAAATTTATTATTTTGATTCTTAATATAAAACCTAATTAGGGAGTTAATATTGGTCCTAAATGTAAAACCTATTTTATATGATTATTAATTTTTTTACAACCTAAGTGATGTAACTTTGGGAAATGTAACTATTTCGTAAACATGCGCCATGCCTTGTAAACATAACCTTACATATCACTACTCATATTTTTAATATAAAACTTAATTAACTAATTTGAGTATATTAAAAATATTAGCTAAATTAGTTAATATAATATTTTTTCCTAAAATACTCTCATCATCTTCCTTAATTCCCTCCCTTCTTCTTTTATTTAATTATTGTTGAGAGAATATCAATAGAGATAATTTTTTTAAAAAATTAATAATACATGATCTTACATATAAAACTAACATTAAATCTCAAATTAAGTCATGCATTAAAGATTAGAGGAGTATATAAAGCAGATATACAAACCGAAAAAACAAAAAAGGTTAACTTGGAAGTTGTAAGTGGACATTTTCTTCAGTGACGTGGTTTGATTTCATATTACAGAGCCAACAAGCTGACATAGGCGAAACGAAGAATGGACCTACCATAAAAAGCTGTAACGACTTCAATAGCTTTTCTAGGACGTAATCATGGGGTTAGATCCTGGACCTGATTGCTTATAAATCTAAAGACGCAAGTTTGGTAGCATAGTGGACTGTTCAAGCTCCACTATCCTCCCTTGAAACCTAAACAGGTCGTTCTCTTATTCAGCTAATCAGCTGTAATGATCGTAAGTCATCCCATGAGCCTAATTATATTCAACATCTCCCTCTGCCCCTGTTTTTTTTTTTGACCGGAGTCCCTCTGCCCCTGTTGACATTTTATAAAAGATGCTTGTGTCTTCTTTGATTTACGTATAGAGAACCACAGAACTTTCTATACGTATATACGTGGCTTACATCATAATTATTCTCTCCAGTTTTCTACTTTGGTGTCAGCTTACTTAGAGACTGTCTCATCCAGAACCAAATGATTGGATAAGGAACATGTCACACTCAATTATTAAGCTTGATTATTGTCACCTACGTCAGTATTGATTAAAGATAATCCAGCTTTATGATGGCAATCCCAATAAGACCCATCATTCTGATATTTGTCTGATGGTGAGTGCTTAATTTCCTAAGTACTATTTGGGTACGTGTCAAACACGGTTGAGCAAAATAATGTGATAATCCCAGTTACATCAGCCATGGGTCTATTAAATAAATTCCATGCACCTTCAAAACTGTCCCCACTCCTATGTCGGCTATGTCCTGCCTTGTATTGTTTTCCTCTCTTCTTCGGACACACAACAATAAGTTAGGAATTTAGGTGGGTTTCTTTCTTTGGGTAGGTAGCTTCTGGGAAGGACGCGTACACTTATGCTAGCGTGAACAGTACTTTAATTTCAGTTAGTATCATAGCCAAATGACAGGGATAATATTTGTACTTCTGATCAATCAAATTCCTCCAATCTTTCATCATACACTTTCTGCCCATGACACCCCAATGAAAGAACTGAATGGCCCCAACTTTTTTAGCCTTTGCCATGATTTGACTTTTTAACTTCACGCTATCTTTTTTCACAAGATGTTATCTCAAAACTTGGTAACATGTAAAAATTATGCACTAAAAATGTCATTTAATCCCGATAATGTGAAAATAATTAACCTTTTTAATTTTCCAGGGCATTTTTGTGACATTAGCAGGATTTGAATCTTGGATCTCTAGCTATACCTGACTCTATCATTACCATCTACTATCAAGTGGCTTTTTCTGGGGAAACTTTTTATTGCTTCTAGATTCGTGGACATATGCCCTGACTCATAGTACAATTCTAACTTCCAGTTACGTTAATGGCTAGCTTAAAATCCCAAGGTGTGGCTCCAAACATTCCACGAAGATATGACAACACCCAGCAGACCTGACCCACTTGAAATAATGAGCTTCACATGAATACAATCCAATACCATAGTTTTTGTTTGTTTTTTGATGCTCAAGTTGACCGACAGAGGTGAAAACCAGACCTATCTGGTAAAAATACTTTGGCATAACCGAAGGACATGTTATGATGAATTCTGAGACAGATGAAGCAAATTTACTGCTCAACTAAGCACGTGCAAGGGCTACCGAGTTGCAGAAACTTCCAGTTTAAGTCCCGAAGAGAATAAACTAACCGCAAAAAGATAAGCTTGTTGGCGAGAAAACAAAGCAAAAGTAAGACAACTTGAAAGTCTGAATCATACCCGCCTCTGGAATCAGATCCAACTGCGAATTAATCTTTCATAGTTGCGTTCTCTATCGCCCACTTTTTT